AATTTGAGTTAATAATTATTATGTTAAAATATGATTGGTGAATATGAATTGGACCCAGTAGGGATCCCCATTTGGAATGATAAGATTTACAAGTGCCATAAATTGAAAATAGGTGAGAATGACTTGTGTCGAAACCCTGTTTTCCTAATACTGAGGGAGAATGAACATCATTTATTTATTTAAGATTGGGTTTGCCATAGAATCGACACAGATTATTTTGATGTATGTGGAAAGGTTGCTATCTGAGTGCAATCTCTTTTTGGAAACATTATGTTATATTGTGATTAGGAGTGGACTAAAAAAGAGGAATCCTTTGACCATAAAGCCTAGTAATGGCATGTGGAACTTACTCTATGAGACACTTAAATAGTTGATCTCCCTTTAATATAGAATGTGTGCTTTGTATTGGCGTTATGTACGTTAACTCTCTTTACTATCTATAGTTGATTTTGAGTGATAGTTAAGTTGCGACAAGAATCATTTCAATGGTTATTTGAGATATTATTGGAAGCGCATAATTAAAAACAAACTCAAACAATATTTAGAGACCAAGATCAAGTAATGGCCAAGGCACTTGTACAAATAATGCCTTAGACACATCATGCTTTATACACATGAAACTTGATGTAAAATAGAATAAAATACCTTAGCAATTTGATGAAAAGAGGAAGTCATCTTTTAAGATATTTGAAAAGACGCATTATGAGTTTTGATACTTGAATTGACTTTGAAGAGACTTGGATGTCCACGATGATAGAATACCATGTTAAAAAAAACTTGAATTGTTTCACTTTATTTCATAAAGGATAAATGAACATCATGTTATCTCAAGGATATATTCACCCTTGGAATATGAAATTCTCAACTAACTAAAAGCTTAAATTCTGATTTTAAAGCTTATATAAAATCTTGTGTTGATATAAAGCAATTCTACAAACATTTTGAACATGTTGAAGACAAACATTACAATGAGATAAAGTGTGAGTATGATTCTCGCTATAAGCTAACAATGTTACGATACAAGTTATCTCAATACTAATACAATGACCAAGGTTTACACACATAACGATATTTAACTTACTTAACAAGAATTTGATTAATTCTTGATTTGTTGTATATCACAAAGGATTGAAAATCCTCCTTTAATTGAATATGTCATTACTAATGTCAACTAACAAACAAGGATAAATATTTGACATACTTTGTTCTCATGCTTTAAAAGTGTTTGAAATTAATGATATAAAGGTTGTCCGTAAGAAAAATATACTTAGGAGATGGACAATACAAGGTCATTGTTGAATTATTTATGAAGTAAAAGAAATACTTCTATGTTATAATCTCCTTCACACATTATTCAATCAATTCAGTTTTATAGATTTGTTACAATAAGTACGTTCAACTTCAACTTAACTTTACATCAACAAAATTCCTTTTTTTTTTATTTCATGCACGATTATTCATAATTTCTCTTCTTATTTTATAGGAATAACTTGATGATACCAATTGTTCAATCCTTTATCAAAATTGATTATGCAACGGCCAAAACTTCTTTTGTATAAAATGTAAGTTGGAATACTATGTCATCAAACGTATTTGGTCCAACGTTGCATGTTGTTGTTTCTACATAATAATTACATTTTTTTAAATTAAAAACCATGTTCGCTTAAGCATATCAGTTTTTGCTTAAGCGAATGACAGGATTTTCAACCAAATTCGTTTAAGATTAATTAAATTCATTTGGCATAGTTTAAGTGAATCTCATTTTTTTTAGGATTCAAATCAATAGCTCTCTATCCTAAATTTGCTTAAGTTTAATTATTTTTACTTAGACATGATTAAGCAAGAAAAATCTTGCTTAAACAAGATAATTTTAAGTATATTTCTGTCTCACCGAACTTCACACATTGTCAAATGAATTTTTTTAAAAATAATTTTTAAAAATTTGTAAATTGAAAAAAAAAAGGTTTCAATATAGTTTCACTTTTAAATATTTTCCTCTATACAAAGATGTTTAATTTTAATTACCAACCAATATTATTTCTAACCAAATATCTTAAATTACTTTTGGTGGACTTTTGAAAATTAACTCAATGTTACTTTATATAGTATTTAACGTATTTAAAGTTACCTATCAATATTTTCTTTTATATTTATTTATAATAAGTAATTTACAATTATACAAAATGACTTGAACTATTTTTTTAGTTATTTGATATATTTTAACTAATTATATAATTAAAATTTTCAAACAACTCCAATTTAATTAACCAATTATAAACTTAAAAACTTTCAGCAACAAATTATAAATTTTTTACCAGTTTATCAATTACAAGTTATAGACTACAAGGTATTCTTCCAGATGACTTTGAAATGTGTGATCTACATATCTAAAATGAAATTACTGAAACAGAAATATGAATTTAATTAATAGGTCCAAAATACTTAATATAATATATTCAACCATCAATTTTTATGGACTTTAAAAACTTCAATTTGGACTTGTTTTCGAGTAGGACGGTAGCACTTATCAAATCTGTTTCTTTTAGGATACTCGTAGTGGGAAACCCCAGCTCTTTTCTGTATCACAAAACCCTCATCTCAAAGGAAAAAGACTCATGATTCATAATAAAGGCTGTGGAATATGCATTTGATAAAGAATAACGTTTTTATTTAAAATATTTTTATATAGCAAGCTTTTGATTATTAACAAGTTACCACTGCATTTACTAATTAATTATAGTTCACTTTTATTTTATTTGAACATTAATTTAATGAAGTTCTATTATGATTGTTATTAACTAATGGTTTTATTTAAAGGGGTTTTAAACTTTTAATTTAGAATTAGTTATAATAATATATTGATTAAATTAAAAACTTAGTCCCAATTATTTTCATAGTAATACTCATTCAAAAAAAGTCTACATGTTAATCTTTACACAAAAGCCAACAAAATAATCCACACGGATTACATAAATGAAAGGCTTCAAGTTTTTTAATTCGTTAGCCAATTTGCTACGTCATCTTCTTTTTATCTAATAAAGGTCCTTGTGTAAATTCCGATTACCAGACTTTGTAATTAATTATAATTACTAATTGAAGTCTTGGTAACAAATGTCCAAAGAATACTGAAAATCAAATTTCAAAAGTAAATTTTGTATATTAAAATATATTGAAAATTTCAAGATGATACATTAATAATATTTTTTAATAAAAAATTTTACTTTTGATTCTGTAACCCGTACCTTAATTTTTGCTTTATAATGGTCACTAACACATGCATAGCATCAAATCAACATTAAAGATTAATAAAATCATTTTTTTTACTGTAATATTAAATAACTTAAATATGTTTTTATCTTTATATTTTAGCAAATTTTTTATTTTAATCTCTATAAATGAATTTTTAGTCCTTACTTTTTATATATTTTTTATTTTAATGAACCATATCAACATTTGAGAGTATAAAAAAAAGTTTATAAAAAAAATAAGAACTAAAAAAAATTCATTTAAAGAAACTAAAACTAAAAATTTACTCAAATATTAGAAACAAAAATATGTTTAAATCTATTAAAATTTTATTTTCCAACAATAATTATATTATTTTTTATCTTAATTACATGTAAAAATTTCACATAAAATAATTTTATTCAAATAAAATAAAATTTTTATAATATTTTTAAAAAATAAAATTAACTCAACTGCATTTTTTAGACTCGACTCAAGACTCTGTGATAATCAATATCAATTAAATCAATAAAAGGGCTTAAATTAGTGAAAATCACTAAAAAAAAAAGACGGAGATCATGAAATAAGTTTATAATTATTGTATAATTTTTAATTTAAAAATAAAAACCAATCATACTTTGATGTATTAGATATCTATCAACTTCATTTGTCTGAAATATTCGTCTGTATCAATTGGCAGTATAGCAAATAATAAAACAGATTAAAAAAAACGATTTTATTATGGCACGTTTGGTAAAATAATATATAAATGCAATCATGTTTTGGATTTATTTTTGTGGGTAACCCATTATTCATTGTTTAAGTTGCTATAGAAGCAATTAAATTCTTAAAAAAATAAAATAGCGTATTTGTGTGGCATACCCTATGTACTTGCAGTGTGTTGGAGATGAATATGATGATAGGGCTGTGATATGACTGGTGCAAATGCTTGAAACGCAACCCACTTTTTGGGTTATGAACTTGTGGTCCCATATCTTGCACGCCAGCATGTCACAACAGTTAAACATGCATATTGGGAGCCACAATTCTTAACCATACTTTTACACTTAATTGTCCATTGGTGCAACAATTAAAATCAACCCATGTATGGTGACTGAACCTTCAGAGAAAAGACCCACCCTTGTAGTTCTGTGGCTGTCATCTATCACAACTTTCAATTGAATTGAAACATCAAATGCTGAAATATGTATGTTAAATATAATGAACATTATTGACAATAATTTATGATTTGGAAACATCATGATTAATTGGGCCTAGTAAGCGGCAAAAGAGTAGAACACTGTATTAAGCAACCAAAATAAATGGACATAAAAAAGGAACAACCTTAAACAAAGTGTATGACAAGATAACCAAATATGACATGACTTCTTAGGAATAATAAAAGTCACCAAATGATGAATAATACAGAAAGAAGGGATAAATAAAAGAAAATGACACAAGTTGCTAGAATTCTTTTCAATTATCATTCAGCTTTGTTGCTTGAGTTTGAGCTAAAAAAATATAACTAAATCGATGAAGATAGCATTCCCTTCATCAAGAATGAACAATTTACAGATTCCTTGCTCTTCAATGAGAACATATAACATATTCCCTTTACTTTGATCATGCTTTTATAAATAGCACGGAGTTCCAATTAATTTTTCCATGCATCAATTCCCTTTACTTATGAGGAATCCAACTGGACTCAATGGAGTACAAAGCTCAGACACAATCTTCTTAGTTAAGAAATTGTGTCTTATGTTAACACAAATGTGCCTCTCTTGTCTTCAAGAGGAAAAAATTGAAGCTTTACTTTGATGTAGAAGAGCCACTGATAGTAGGGTCTGTTTGGTAGTACACAATATCCCCCGTGTCACTGACAAAATGGTCTTTCTTCATGCTTCTTATCAATTCTCCAATGAGGTAAAATGGAAGAGGGCTAGACTTCTTTGGCTCCCGGTAATATTTGCCAAGAATAGGCTTAGCTGCCTCAGTCTACATGTAGAGCAAAGACACATTCAAATTTAATGCAATTCATGAAAACTACGATTCTTTTTATCCATCAAGAACAGTGTACACTAAGGGGTTATTCACTACTCACTGCTTCTATTAAGTGATAGTGTGGGATTTGAGGAAAGAGGTGATGAATGACATGTGTTCCAATATCATGGTGGACGTTGTTAATCCATCCATAATCACGATCAATAGTTGTGAGTCCACCCCTAAGATAGGTCCATTCCTGTCCAACATAAATGGAGGATAATGCTGTGAAGGATGACTAAATTTTGACAACTTCACAATTTTACTCTCCCCGTCTCTCATTAGATGTCACTAAATAGTAATATTAATGTATAAAAATAATGTTGATAAAATAAATTTATTTTTACTAAAATAATCATATTAAAAGTGTTGAAGTTATTAAGGGTATTATTGAAAAAAGAATAATTAATACCTTTTTCATATTCTAATGCACAAATAATTTTAGACAAATAAAACGTATTCATGTAACAACTAATATAAAACAGAGTACTAAAAAAAAAATTAAATTGACGTTAACATCAGGTTTTTTTATTGTTGTTGTTAATTAATTCAGAAAGGTCGAAAGACCAGGTTGAGCAAGCATTTTCCAAGAAAGAAGGGTACCTGTCCACGATACCATGGTAATTTGTCTTCATGGCCATGGTGATGCAAGTAAGTCACCAAATCCAACCACATAACAAAAATCTTCAATTACAAGTATAAGTCAAAATTAGGACATGATTTTGATTCAAAAAAAGAAACTCATTTATTAAGTGTCTAATTCATAGTTGGAAAAAAAAGATGGAATTTACCGCGTAGGGAATGCCATAAAGCTTTAGCAATTGAACTGGACCCATTACAAATCCCAAACCAACAAGCAAAGCAGCCATAGCTGTCCAACAAATTGTTGAAGTGATAACATCTTTTCTCTCACTGGGAACAAACAAGTCACTGCTTGGATTGAAGTGAGAACCAGTCTTCCCAGGACTCCTGTTCCACTGAATTCAAAGATCATTATACCAAATGTCAATTTCTACACCAAAACCAACAGCAATAAATGTTCAAGTTTTGGTTAAACCATTAGGCACCACAACTTACAAGGTAGATAGGATACGCAAGCAATGGAAAAGGTACTGTGAATCTTAAAATACGTGTTACATTGTCCAAACTCTTGAAGATTTTCTCAGGCAACTGCAAGATTGACATTATACATTTTGGATTAGAAATTTGATAGATATAAGTAAAAAAAAAAAAAAAAATGAAGACAAAAACAGATTCAATTAAAAAATAGAATAATGATTAACAACTCACCGGGTGCCAAGATTCGTCATTTTCAACATGTCCATGGTTTTGATGATGTGTTCTATGACTGATTCTCCTGTACAATTCATGAAACTATCAGTTCCAAAACTTGGTCTAGAAATAATGCAGATTAGGATAAGCAAAGTGTATATAAAGCAAAAGGGGATTAAAAGAAGAGCTATTCCTAAGGAGCATCATATCATACCATCCATGATATGGTACTAGAATTGAAGAATGCAGCAAGTGCCCAACAACGCTATTGAGCTTAGGATTATTTGAAAAGCTTCCATGACCACTGAAAAATCCAAAACACCAAACATTGCTATTTGCTATCAAAACAACCTTCTGAAATCCAAGCAAAACCAATCAACAATTGAATCTAGATCTGCATTAGGTAAAAAAACAAATGGAGATATGCAATTGACTAATTACCAATCATGACCAAGAACAAAAAGGGCCCAAAACATGGTCCCTTGAGCAGCCCAGTAGAGAGGCCAAACAACCCAGTTATTGAGATAAGCTGCAGCTGCGGCCAACCCAAAAACCACAATAACATCCCTCACTACATAGCTCATGGACTTCCATGGATCCTTCACCCAACAGTGCTTAGGAATGGCTGCTCTAATATCAGCCAATTTGAAGGGTGGCGGTGAACTAGGGTCAAATTCTGGTAGTTCCTCTCCAACCCCATTGATTCTCTTTTCTTCTCCTTCAGTGGTAACAACCCTTAGAGGAGCGCTCACTCTCAATTCCCACTTTCTTTGTTGAAGCTTCAGATCTGCCACCCCTTTATTTGTGTTCAAAAATCTAAACTTTGAAGGCTTATGGCATGAAATGGGTCCTGTTCTTGGTCTTGGAAACACTGGAGGAAGAGGCCTTAAGCCACATTCTGAGAAAACCCATGTGGCCATTGGAGATGAAGAATCAAGCTTTGGGGTTGGTTTGGTTGATTAGTTCTCACTCCTCTTCCTGGTCCCTGGCAGAGGGCAGAAAGGTAAAGCCACAATAAAACAGGAAAAAAGATAAAAAGAGAGAGAGAGAGAGAGAGAGAGAATGAGAACCAAATATAAGGATGCAACTGAAGCAAAGAATTCAAGGACAAACAAGTTGAGAAATTTAAAGATATGATGACAACGGGTATGCACTTGTGTGTTTCAACAAGAGCCTCACGTTTGTGCTCTATGTTGTTTCTCTCTCTTAAGTTTTGTTACTGCCTGTAATTTTTATCTTCCCCCACCTCCTTCTCTTCCCAAATCTGAAAGAAAAATCTTAGCTTTAACAAAAGGGTATCCAAAGAGGGAGATCAATTGAAGTGAACAGAAAAGGGTCTCTTCTTGTTCATGGTGTGTGATTACTATGTAATGTTAAATAAATATATAAAGGGATTTCAGGAGCAATTTTGACATGTGTGTGCTTGAGATGAGAGGCTCTGTGTCAATTGATCACTTTCAAGTCCCACATTCTTATGTTGGGTTCCCATTCTCTAGTGGAACCAAATTCCTTTGTTCCCTTATTTTGCCCTTGTGTTTTGACCTTTTTTGGTGGAACTAGGGAAGTGGAAGAATGGAAATGGATCCTATTTTCTTGCCTTTGCTTTTGATGGCACTGAGTGGAAGCTCATTGGTTGATGATGCATCACTATAACTAAACTAATTCCATTCATGGCTTCGCTGTATATGAATAGGGACTAAGAAGACAACTATTAGTACACGTGAGACAACTGTTAGCTGATGTTTTATAAAATATAAAATGAATTAATTCTACTGTTGATTTTTTTAATTTTTAAAATGATATATATATATATATATATGTTAATTTTTATATAATTTAAACATTTATGAATATATTATCTAAATTTTAATATTTATTTATATTTTAAAAACATATTATCTGTTAAAATAAAAAGTATAATAAAATATCTAATTATTTTATTTTATTTTTTTATAAAATTGACCTACAACTTTTATATCAAAAGTTGAATTGGTTAATTTTATATTGTATAAAAAATTATTAAATAGTGTAAGTCTATAAATTTAAAATCTAATATCAATAATAAAAAAAAAAGTATCTACAGATTCTAACTCTTTTACTATTAATATGAAATTCTGTAAATTATTGTATGAAAGGTGATATTAAGAAAGAAAGTTTACTAAAATAATATAAAAAGAAAGCATTTTTTAAAAAGATAAGCATTTAATAAATTTTAGACAAAATAAATATTTAATTATAATCTTTGAAAAGCACTGATTAATTTTTTTTCTAATTTGATTTGTTTTTTCTTGATATAATCATGTGTCATTTTTTATTTTGTGAAATATATTTCATGGTTTTTATTTCAAGAAATAATAAAATTATATTTTTATAATTAATAATTCAATTTAAGAAAATTTTTAATGTTCTTAATTATGGAAATTAATACAAAAATATTTTTAAATTAAAATTATGTATAATGCTATATTGATAAATCATTATTAAAATAATGTTCTATTAATTAAATTAAGTTTCAAATTAAAATTTTTAAGTAAATAATAATTTTTATTTTCTACAACGAATAAAATAATTTTAAAGGCTATATGTTTACATTTTAACACTTATAAATAAATATTTGTATAATACATTAGAATACATTCGAGATTTTAATTTAGTGTATTTGTTAACAACTAGCTCCCGTGTTACAAATACTTTCGTCGTCGTCCCTTTTATTTAAGTACGGTTAATTTTAGTTAAAATATAAATTATAATGAAGTTAATATTTAAAAAATAATAAATTATAAAAATATGTATAATTAATTTTATATTGGTCTATTTAATTTAAAATAGTTTTTACAATTATAAAAAATTATTTCTAAAAATGAATTTATGTATTTATAAATAAAATTATTATTTATGAATATTTTTTTATTTGTATAATTACCCTTTGCTAACTAGTAATATGTCACATAGTTAAGTTTAAAACTATTTGAAACACATCTTTAATTAAAAAAATAAAAAATAGAATAAATTATTATTATTATTTAATTCTAACACGTGTTATTCTCTATCCCTCATAACTAAGTAAAGTTATGAATTTTTTATATTTTTAGTTTGTTATCTCTTCCTTCTAAGCGCAATTCTTAAATTGCGAGATAATCGTATCCCAAAATCTCAAAAATCATTTTAAATCACACGAGCTAAAAACTAAATTGAGTTAATCTTCAAGTTTTTCTTTGTCATTTTTTTTTTTCCTTTTTCTCTATCTCTACAATTAATACTACTTTTTCAACGTTCTTCACTATCCAATCCTCCACAACTAGAGATATTCTCATTATTTTATTGATGGAATTGTCAATTTAAGGTGTCAAGTGTGACGTTTTGGTAAAAAGTTTTATTTACATGTATTGTCTATAGAGGTAATGATACCAAACAACTTTCTAGCATCATTACCTTAACTTACAGATGAGAAACAATGAAAGCCTATAAATGGAAATTAATGTACTGACAAAATTAAGATTCTCTAACATCAAGATTTATTAAGTTGTGTTAGCATATTTTACCCAAAATATTAGAACACTTGAACAATGTAATTTATCTTAAAGAGACATTTATTATTCATGTTTGACTCTCACTCATGCCATTATCACATTGGCTGTAGTAAGGTCATTTTGAACATGAATATTTGTATAAGAACCATTCGGCAAATACTTTCATGTATGGACCAATTGAAAATTTGGTATTAAATATAATAAATATAAAAGTATTTAAATTATTTTTTAATGATTCAATCTTTTAAAAGGAAATAAGAAGGGACTAAAATCCCTTTTCACTTAACTTACACTCCTCTCCAAAATTGGAGTTTTGGAGGAAAAAACTTTTAAACAAACTAATAATTTATACATGCTCTACCTAATTATGTTAAATTAATTTTAAAAAATAATTAAAATTATATTATACATCAATTTTTATATTTAATAAATTTTATAAATTTAAAAAGAGTAAATCTTATAATTATTAATAATAAATATTATAATATATATAATAAATTTTAAAAAAATATATGAAACTTTTAAAATTTAAACTAATATTAAACTAAAAAAATAAATATCACAATCATTATCATTATTACTATCATAACCATCATTGTTATCTTCATTATCATGATCAATGTTACCATTAATTGTACATATTATTACCTTTATTAGCACCATTTTACATTAGGACAAGTTGATTATACTATCATTGATACCTTTCACTCTCTCGTCCCCATCCTTACCATTACCTCAATAATAAAGAAATTTAAATTTTTAAGTGATCAATATTATTTAAATTAAAGATTTAGTACTAAGATTTAAAAATTATAAAAATTATTTGACACTAGAAATATATGAAACTAATGAATAATTTTAAATTTTAAAAATTTAAAATTAATGATTATATCAAATAAATTAGGTCATTTTTTTATTATTAGAGTTGGAAATTGGTTGGGTTTAGGGATGGATTTAGTAGTATTGAAGTGGGGGCAATTGTCTTCACTATATTTTGACTTTTCTATACTAATATATATATATATATATATATATATATATATATGCTCCTTTTAATATTTTATTTGCCTCCACACTGTTGCAGAAACATACGTGAATTACTTTTTATTATATTGAAGAATTGTCTTTAAATTTTACTAAAATTACTTTAATGTCACTCAGTTTTATATCTAACAAAACTTCTCCAACAAGCCAACTAAGTACACATAACAAAACTCACGTTTTGTATCTGACATGCGCATGCTTCTTTAATTCTTTCACGTCAATTGCTTTTTCTCAAATGTTAACAAGGTTTCTTCCTTCTTGCACATGATGCAACAAGTCAACAACACAATAGCTCTTATTTTTTTATGTTCTATGGATTTTTTGGTGTCAAAGCTTCAGTTTTAGATAAACAAATTTCTATCCAACAAGTTATGAGTTATTCAACAGTTGTTCCATTGCATTTGTTACTTTTTTATCACTATATTATTTGTATATTTGATTTGTTCTAATTTATTAGTGGATTACTTGTATTAGTTTATTTATTATTGTTATTTTTATGTAAAATATTATCATCTTTATTATTGATTTTAGTTTTATGAACATGAAATTAATTATAATTATATTGATTTTATTTCTAGCAATGGAAAGATTTTTTAAAAGAAAATCAACATCAAAACAATCATCTTCTCCTCAAGTACTTGATGAATGTAGAAGTAGAATATTGGGTTCAACCAATAAAAAAAGATTTTTGAAATTTGATTTAGAAAAACTTCCTAATGATTCTGGTTTAAGGCAAAAAATGTCAGATTATTATCCAAATGATAGAGATGAAATTAGAAGATATTATTTAAAAAAGATCCTTGTCAACCAGAAGAGATTAATTTTTCACAGAATCTATTTGCTTTTAGAGTTAGCTTTAATACTACCAGTGACAACTGTAACAGTTGAAAGAGTTTTTTCTGCTATGAATATCATCAAGAATCAGATGCGAAACCGTATGTGAATGAATGATTATTTAGTTACTTATATAAAGAGAAAGATTTTTTGTAATATTGAAAATGAAAAAATTATTCAATGTTTCTAGAATATGAAAGCTCATAAAAAATAATTATGATGTGTATTTTTACTTTTAAATATTATGTTATATTTTTAATGTTATAAAATTTGTACATATTGCCCCACAACCCAAAAATTCTGGAACCATCATTGGTTGAGTTTAGGAGTTGATGGGATATGGAGATCTTTAGACATGAAGATCTTTAGGTAAATTAGATTGAGTAATATTCTCTCAACCATATTTACTAAAACTATTGTTCATCACCATCATACTCACTCTAATTACACCTTTACTATTATTGCTGTTATAACACTCTTAAATTCAAAACTTCACTAAATATGTACCATTGTTAACTTCCTATCATTCATGACCATCATTTAGCATTCTAAAAATTCAAAATCTCATTAGATCTATGTCATCATTAGTTTCCTCCATCATTCATGACCACCCTTCAAATTATGATAAGAGGATTCAAAGTCGCCATATGAAATTGAAAATAAACAGCCGAACTCATATGTCAAAGACTTCTGCATGTCCACGACAGTAAAGGAAAGGCAAAGGTAGAAAGAGTGACCATACTCATTAAAAGATGAGTGCAAGAGGAAAGAATTAACTTAAGATTTGAAAGAACGAAGATGAGAAAAATGGCTAAGTTATACAAGAACAAATATTTGTCGATCAGATCAAGTACCCACGAAAAAAATCTTTCTTAATTGTACCTGTCTCCTGAAATATGATTTTAAATATTTTTTAAATTACTCAACATTTTAGCCTCTATCCTCCTACCGTTTTTTTTTTTTAATTTTATTGGTTTAAGCCAAATTTTGGGTACTTGTTCCTACTCATTACACTAGGAAAGTTTGACCTTTAATTATAAACAATTAAAAATTACAGAATTGAGTGCATTGTGCCAAAGTTATTATTATTATTATCATAGAGATTTTTTCTTGCTTAGCCTATTATTTCAGCAGAGTTTTACAAAAAGGTTTCAACAAGTTGGGCTTGTAGATTTGCGAAACATTGTTCCCTTCCTCTGCCTCGCTCCTAATATTAATAATATACATCTTCTTCCTCTCCTCGTGAATTCTATAACCATTAATAAAATGAAGGTTCATCTCCTTTTCTCCCTGATGTTTTAACCATTTAGGGTCGTTGCTTATCTTCTCCTCTGACTTTGCTTTCCATTCCCTTTGCATATGGATTACTTACCCCTAAATCTCATTAGACAAGAATGACCAATCTCGTTGTATTAATCTTCTAAACACCTATTGTTCAAACATATGTTTTTTGTTCCTTTCTTTTTCACTGATTTCAAGAGCACTCTAAGACATTTTCTTTTAATGTGCTTTTTTTTTTTAATTTTACCTTTAGTTATTTGTTTGATTCCAACGCTTATAGACGATTAACTAAAATGATACGTACAATTTTTTTTTTTAATTTTGAATTGAATAACAACTTACTTTATATAAAATCTTATAATATATCTATCCTAACAATTTTCACGTCATACTATTTTTAAGATGAATTTTTATTACATTTATTTTTATTTTTATTTTATCTTTCTCTGTAAATGTATCTTATTATTTCCTTCTCGCTCGTCTCTCTTTTAATTTATAAAAAGAACGTAGAAATTGATTTTACGATTAACATTTCTCTTTTCGTAAACTTCCCCACCCCAAAGCCGAAAGCACAGTCCCATTGATTCTGCTGAACGCCCTTCGCTTTCTGTTGTTGTTGTTGTTGTTGTTGTTGCAATGGATCGAACCCAAATCCTTCTCGTTGGGTTACCAATCTTCCTCTTCTTCTCGGACATTCTGAATCTCTTCGCTCCTCAACCCCCTCCCAAACCCACCCATCATGCTTCCATCAACCCCAAACCACACCCTCTACCCATTCTTCAACAACCCCTCCAATTCCCCACTCAGGTTCTTTTTTCCACATCCCTCAATTCCCCTCTTCTTTTCCATATTTTTCCTCTACTTTTTCATTTTTATATTTCTAGCTTTTCCCAATTTTTATTTATTTACTTTTTCTTAATTTGGGTTATTATTTGATTATTTCGATTTTCTGGTGTGTTTTTATCAATGCAGCCGAAACAGAGTGGCATTGGCCCAATTGGACTTGGCAGCACTGTGAACATTGACTTCTGCACTTCCTGCTCTTACAAGTTTGCCCAATTTCTTTCCCTTTTAATTCTGATCTAATTATTGCTTTATTAAATTAAGGGTTCTGATTTTGAATAATAGGGTATGATTATTGTTATTAAGTTTGTTTCCTATTATTTTTATTATTGTTTGGGGCTTCGGTTTCTTGTATTGAGAAGGAAATGGAGAAGAAGCTTAAATATTACTTGTGTGGTTCCTAAATTGAACCTAGTCTTGCATATCTTAATGGCGTCTAGTGTTAGTGATTCAATAAAAATCACAACATATATTAGCAGTTAATAATCTCGATCTCGCTCTGAGTTAGATCTATTTAGTCAATGACTCAATGTTAATTTATTCTAATAGATCGAAAGCGCGTCTTGTTTCCTTTTGCCACCGTTGAAGTTTGTTCTAGTTGTTACTTTTCATTTCGTGGCATTGTATCTGTTTGCAAATGGTCAACTCCCCTGTTACTCCACTTCAACACTTTGTTTGGATTAGACTAGTGAAATAAAGGTGAATCAAATACAGAGAAGGAAAAAGGAACCATAGAAATGATATGTTGTTTGGATGTTTAGGAATAAGAAGGATTTTGGATGTATTGACTATCGAAATAAGAAGGAAAGAAATGAGCGAAGTGGAAATGAGTGTAGAAATAAATAAATACCATAAGAGACTTTATATTAATTTTAAAAATTAAATTTCTCTCACTAAAAAAACTGAATTTTATAATATAATATTTTTCTTAGCATCAAATTATTTTTTATTTTTTTATAATATAAAAAATAATTTGATTTTTTAAAATCATAAAACATGAAAAATTAAGAAACCCATTTGAGCATCCTCATTAGTAAAGAGTCCATTTCACTGAAGAAGAGCAAGGGAATGTATAGATGTGGGACCTACTGAAATTTTCAGATTTCATGCATTCATTACAATTCATCCAAATGGTAGATAAAAGTTTGAGTAAATTACACTCCCCTTGAAAGAAGTTTAAATTAGACTACCCTGACTCTGTTCCCTAAGAGATTAGCATATGCTACATTTTAGTCTTTGTAAATGTGAATGAGTGTGATAATAGTGACAAACAATTATGAACGAATCTTCAAGGGGTATTCTCTTCTCTTTTAACTTTTAAAGTTACTGACAACTAATTTTGAATATTGTATTATTGATTTTTTTACTTTATTCATTGAAATGGTGTTATAAAACATTCATACAATCTGCTTCGGAATTTCACTTGTACTCCTCTGGTCTTTTTATAAAAAACAACTATCACTATTTTTTTTCCTAATTATAAGAAACAAAAATTCATTTTCAGATGCATTAATTGCTAATTTTTTTGTATCCTTATTTATTATCAAATTGGTATTGATAAAGAACTCACCCATTAACAATATAAGTGAATATATGCATTCATTTAATATATAAGTCATCAATATGACTATTTTATGCTATAGTATTTTTCAACTACAAGATCCATATTTAACATATAACTACTTTTTATAGATATTGATGAATTAGTTATTTGTTTCTTACAAAAAGGATAGGAGGAAATAATTTTTGTTTTATCTTCTAAAGTTTCCAAGTCTATGATAAAGGCTTAAAATGAGTTGTCAAGAATGCTAATAATCACAATAAAAGAAAAATTGACCCAAACAAGCTCGTTCACGCTGAAATGGGCATTGTAAATAATACGGGAGGGCATTGTAAATTTGTAATTTAAGCTCTTATAAAGGGAGGGGAGTATAATTTATTATGAAATTTGACTTTTGATGTGAGACAGTTATATTGATGCTTTTAATATTAATCTTTCCATATTAGTATGAGAATTTAAGTAGTGTTATAACTAGTAAATTTTCAGAAACTGGACTATAGACTTTGTTTGCTCTAGCTGCATTCATCCTTAATTTGTTTCATTTTTAGAATCCACATACTTATAAGTAGAAGAAACCTAAATGTATCTTGTGTGATTTTCATGATTTTTTCTGCAGGGGAAATGCAGTAACAGTTAAAAACATGTTGGAATCTGCATTTCCTGGGATTAATGTTATTTTGGCTAACTATCCACCTCCACTTCCAAAGCGCATTCTCAGCAAAGTAATTCCAGTGGTGCAAACAGGATTTATTATCGCTATAGTTTCAGGTGAACAAATATTCCCAAGATTGGGCATAACACCGCCATCATGGTACTATTCTTTGCGAGCCAATAAGTTTAGAAGTATTGCAAGCACTTGGCTTCTTGCAAATTTCCTCCAATCCTTCCTTCAAAGTTCTGGTGCTTTTGAAGTATATTGCAATGGCGAATTGGTAAGTCATTGGTTAGAGCTGGCAACTAATATAGTACCCTTTGTTTATAATGGTGTTTACTTCTATACCTGCTAGGACCTAGGTGGGACTGTAGAGCTTACTTAGTCATAGATATTTTGAAGCATTCAGCTTCAGAGCATACTGCACCTGTGCTTTACCTTCAACATTTGAATGCTTTTCTTGATTTAATGACCATCTTGTTCCTTTTGATTTCATAGGTTTTCTCCAAGCTGAAAGAGAACAGATTCCCTGGTGAAATTGAGTTGAGGGAACTTGTTGGGAGAAGATTAGCCAATCCAAGACTTGTCAGCGGTATTGAAGGTTCTGTTGAGCTCTAGAACCCTCAAATAGCTGATTGCAAGATTTTCTAAAGGCCAATTTGAAGTTAGACTCTACAAAGATACATGACACAAATTGAAGCATGCAAAATGGATGTTATAGAATAGAATTTTTGCTTAGAGTTTGTTTAATCTGTTATGTACACTGTCAGTTAAGTGATTGAATATTGAGCAGGTATCTCTCTTAAGTTCTCGCTTATGAACCCTCTTTCTCTCGACTGATGAAGTTGGAATTCAGAAAAAGATATTCCTCTATTGACCTACATAAACAAACTAAACAGGTGGTTCCTACTAAGTTAGAAGGAAAATATTCAATTTCACTTTTGAGTTGAGATAGAACCGCTTGTACAGTTTCTGAAAGATTCCATTATTTGTAATCTTCTTAACTCTTAAAAATATGTAGCTCACAGAGAAAACCAGAACTCTCGTGGGAGCATAATACAGTCTACATACCACTCACATAGAAACATAAATGTCTTCTTGATTTCATTTTATTCTATGTCAAATTTATCAAAGGAATCAGTTAAGTGTAATATTATGAGTAAGGGTAGCTCACTAGCATGTGAATGATGCATATTTGATTAGAATTATTCATTGAGTGAATATTCACTTTCGTCTCCAAATTTGTATGTATCCAACAATTTTGTCTCTTAAGGTTTTAAAAATATCAAGTTAATTCTTAATATTAGTCGTCGGTCATTCATATTAATGCTTATTATTAAATGACATTAAAAACAAACTAAGAAGGTAGTTAGATGCCACGTTAAATAACATGTAAACTCTACCTCAACTCTTAAAAATCAAGCTTAGCCATATTCTTTATAGTTAGCTTTATCTTAGGATCATGCAACCCTTCATTCACTAGATACATGTACATTCACATTTCAACATCCTTCTTCACACCAGCTACTTGAACTTCACGACTCAACTTGCCAACATATGGGTTATGTTGCTGCCAGAGAAAAAAAAAACTGTAGATCGATATGTTCGTTCAGCCAGAGGTTGGGTCCACTTCTACTAGCGCGTGACACGACCATTAGAGCACTACCCAAGAGTCCGTAGCAAGCGGGTATGAGTTGGGTCAAGAACTACCTATAGTCCACAAAGATGGCGATGGCGATGGCGATGACATTAGCTTCGACAACAGTGCCAATGACAAGCTTATGGTACGTGGAGGAAAAAGTAGACTGCAAGCAGAATTTGTCTCTGTGAATGAGGAGGATGGGAAATGATGTCTTTGGAACAGACATCGATGGTGTGGTGGTCGAAAGGAGTACCATTTTTGTAAGTCTTATTTGTGAGTTAGATTTAAGAAGGGATGAGAAGAGAGGGAGGGGAAGGGATTATAAGAAGTTTAATTTTGTTTGAAAGTTATTTAAGAATGATTTTGAAAAGTTTTCTAAACCTTTTAAAACTCTTTAAAAGTTTATTTTTTAAATTTTTTTATTTTGGGATTTTTTTTCTTTCACTTTTTTATATTATTTCATAAATATAATTTTTTAACTTTTTTTTAAATGTTAATTTTTTAAATAATGATTTTTAAAAAAAATTTAAAAAATAAAAATATTAATTTTTAAATTATTTATATAATTAAATTTTTTATATTTTCTTTTCTTTTTAATATTAAATATCTAAAGAAAAGAGAGATTTAACTTCTTTTCTTTTTGTTTCCCTTCTCTCTTTTTTTAAATTTTTTTATTTTCTCTTCCTTCAAACTCTCAAACAAACTCTAAGTGTTCTTCTAAATTTTCTTTGTAATATTAGAAAATTAAAAGGTGTTTTAGGAGATCATCTTCTCTTGTCTCCAAATTAATCCAAGTATGAAAGGGACTTTGAGCTGAAGAGGCTATGAAGTTTGCTTATTTTATTATTCTTAACTCATGTTTATTTCGTTATTCTTTCTTATGGTAGAGAAAATTTCTGGGTTTGATAGAAATGATGAACAATTTTTGTGGGATAAACAGTACAAATTACGATTGAAAAGCGTGACAAATATGATAAATAGTATAATTTTATTTTGTCCCATGAAGCAGAGTGATGACATATTAAAGATTAATGTAATATTTTAAAAAATTTAAAGATAAAACTATGAATCAATACAAATTTATAGATGAAAATAGATATTTATTTAATATTAATTAGTTATTTAAATTTGAATTTTTTATTTCTAATAAATAATTTTATTTTATTTTTTAATAACTTAAAACTTAATTGGAGGAGTTTTGCCATTATTATTGGTTTTACTTATTGCTCGAATATGATAGGTCAAAGCTAAAAAATAATGATTTTACTTTTGTTTGCTTTATACTTTTGATTTGATTAGATTTAGTCAATTTTTAATTATAATTGGGTATAAACTCTTGTTATAAATTTTGTGTAATTTTATAAATATGTTGGAGCAATCATATATATTTTTATTGATTGTTGAACTCTTAAAATATGGTGTAACATAGTATAAAGATAAGAAAGATAAAATAGAAGAGAGAAAAAGGAAGTACTATATTAGTAGTATCCAATCATCTTCTTTACACATGCCTAGAACTATGTTAAAAATCTTCCAAAGTAAATAACAATATGATTTCACACATATATGTGAAATATTTTAAGAGAATTAAACATAAAATTTATGATTTAGAAGGTATTAGATAGACATTTTTAACTATCTAGACAATTATATACAATTTTTTTTAGAATTAGTATATATCACAAATTCACAGTAATATATCACATAATAATTCATATAACTAAAAAAATTAAATTATGCTCTTTTTAATATTTAGAGGTTAAAATCATGTTCTAAAAAAAAGAGATGTAGTATAAGAGCAGTTGTTTCAAGAATTTTTCCTATAATTAAGCTTAGTAAATACATCGCTAACTTCTTATAACATAATACATAATTTTTTAGAATACAAAATATAAAAAATATAAAACACCATAACATGATTATAGCAAAAAAACAAATAAAAGAAAACATAGAAAATAATTTTACAACTTGAAAAACGGATAATTAAAAATAGAAAAAAAAGGAGAAAAGTGAGAATCTTGCAAAACTCAATAAAAAACAAGACAAGAAAGAGAAAGCAAGTAAACACCTAATCATGAAAGAAGTAGGATTAAGGAAAGAAAATAGGCTCACAATTTCATAAGAGTAAATTAATTTTTTTAAAAAACTCCCTAGATTAGGTGAACTAAAATAAATAAAAAAAGCTTTTAGGTGTTTACAAAAACCTCCTAACTATTCACCTCATTTTTTTAATTTCCAAACAAAGGTTAATTATAAACAAACTCTTCTTTCTCTTTTCTTTCCTTCTCTTCCTTAAAATGACATGCAAGACTTTATTTAATAGTTTGGAGGATAAAAAACAAATAGATTTAGAAGGTGAGGGAGGAAAGGAGGGGAAAGAAGATTAAACCTTTCATATTAAAAGAAAATGGTAACATGAAATTTAATCATATACACGATTTTATTAGCTTTTTATATTTTTATTTATATATATTTTTCTTTTTTCTTTTTATAAAAATATAAAATTAAATATTTATCTTACTCTATTTATATTGAGTGAAATTTATATAATTCTTTGAGAAAAAATTATGATAATCAAAAGTGTATATTAAAATATGATTAGGTTCAAAAATTTAAAGCTCAAAATAACTAAAATAAAAGAAATAAAAATCAAAATGCCAAACTAGATTTTGAGTAAGAGGTGTTGTGAAATTGCAATGTTTTGTTGAAGAAAGAACACAGGGAATTAAAGAACTATAGTATAGTACAATTAGTTTTAATTTTCTAACCATTAATGTCATGGGGATGTAGCTCAGATGGTAGAGCGCTCGCTTAGCATGCGAGAGGTACGGGGATCGATACCCCGCATCTCCAAGTTTTTGCTTCTTCTCGTATCTGGATCTGATTGATTGATTTGTCTCCACGTGTCCATTTTTATTTCTTTCTTTTCTACAAACTGGATACTATTAATATTTCTCTATTCCAATCTCATCAGCGTATAGAATTATTGAAAAAAAATTGCTAAGTTATTTTGGGAAAGAGATAAAGGTGACATTTATGGAGTTGAAGTCCTTATTTAATTGCTTGAAAATAAATTGAAATAGATGATGCAAGAATCAAGTGATGCATTAGCAAACTCAATTTTGTTTAAATTTGTTGTAATAAAGTGATTTAACATTCTTTTGATACGAATGTTCCATTTATCATTTATTTATTCATTTTAACATCTAAAATAATTAAACTATTAAATAAGTCTTCAAATAAATAGAATTTAAACATTTTTGTTAATTGTAAAGAAATTATAATAACAGAATCTAATTTAAGGAGAAACAGTATAACTTAGGTTGAAATCTGTCATTTCTTTAATTCAAGATTACTTTCACAAGTACATAAAAATGTTAGGAATAAAATTGATAATCTACTAAACATATTTCATCAACTAAAAAAGAATCACAAATTAAACTTGTTGCAACAATAAAGCTTATTGTTTTGTTTTTAATATTTTATTTTGCTTTGGGTGTAGTACATTACTATACTATTTTTTAATTAATTATTTTATTTTAAGTATATTTTTAAGATATATATACATAAAAAATAATTTGTAGTAGGTAATAACGTCATTATATATATATATATATATATATATATATATAATTAAACACTAAAATATAATTTTTTTTAAAAACTTATAGAAATATAAAAATTTAAAAATCATTATTTTTAAGTTTCATATTTTTATAATTTTTCTTAAAAATTTTATAGTTTAGTATATAATATTTATAAATTTTTATTTAAAATTTGTTTCAAATAATATCATAAATAATATTAATTTTAAATCAGTAAAATAATAAATTTTTTATCGATATGCCCATACCACACAAAGCGCTATATCTGCTATATCTATATTTATATGCTCATCTTTACCTAATTGACTTAAGAATAGCATGAAAATAAAATATTTATATTTAATAAAATTTTATTTGATGTGTTTTTATATTATTTTAACTCCAATCTTTGCAATTTTCACATTGTTTAAATTAACTTCCAATAATTTAAAAATTTAGTAGTCAATTTATTATAGTTTTGATCGAAATAAAACTCTTATTATATTTTGTTTCAATTTTTTTTTAACAATTTTGTGCTAAAATAACCTAATAACTCTCATTTAAATAGAAAAATTAAAGTTTCCCTATTTATATTACATTCAAACGAATAAACCAAACATAGAAGAACATAAAGAAACCTTAAGTTCTACAAAGTGTCAAATTTTGAACGAATTTGCAGCAACTAAAAATAGTAAAAAGCATAAATAATCTAGTTGAGAAGATTAAAATATCAAAACTTTTGAAGAAGGATAGCAAGTAACTATAAATTACTTATATATTCATTATCATTATTATATTTATTACAATGTAGTCGATAATTATTTTAGTAGTTGTATTGACTAT